TAAATAATAATTTTTTTAACAATTTTAAAAAAAAATTTATTATATAATAAGAGATAATTTTTTTTTATTCTTTACTCATGTTATACAATTCGAATTTGAATATCTTATTTTTAATAAAAAGATATTTTCATTAATTTATTTAAATTATTAGTATTTTTAACAATTAAATTAAAATTAAAATTTAATATTTTTAATGATTTTAATACATTTAATGATAGGCATAATCATACCGAAATTTGTATCTTTTTCCTGGGAAAAAAATTCTACTTTTTTTTCACTCTTTCAACCGATTTCAGAAGGTTTGGATTCCTGCGTTTCTCAAGCTTTTTCTTATCTTATAAACTAATCCAAATATGCCCTAAATTTGTTAATTAGCACTTTAATTACTAAATAACAATTTATTATTCAACAAGTTTTATGAAAAATCCAACAAGAGATTTTAGCAAAAAGAGTATAAACTATATTTAGCTCACCAAACGGCCTCTCAAGTGCAAAAGAAATTTCTTATTTTCCTTTTTATTTTATATGTAATGATTTTACTCACACACAATGCAATAAAAATTTACAAGTATATTTTACAAATTAGTCCCTCAAAATAAAGTTACTAATAAAAACCCGTGATGAAACATTGATGACAGATCCTCCGCTAAGCTTACAAATAGTCAACATTTAACTTATCTAATATTACATGATGGGTTTCTCACCTTTTTTTTATCCATTTCTATTGTTATTTGTAAGTTCATGAGTGAATTTGTCACTAATGTTTCATCTGATATTTATTTTATTTTGATTGGTTTCTTTGCCTATTATTCCAAATCTTAAACCCTTTTTTTTTTTTTACTTGACTCAAATTTTAAATATAAGATCTCTAATTTAAAATTTTAAACTTTTAATTAATTGAATTATTTTTTTAAGAATCAAATTTTAAACTTTGTTACGACACTAAAACATAATTTTGAGGACATGAAGGTCAGTAATGGATTTGCATTCGACCATTAATTCATAAGGTGGATGTCGCTAATCTCTCTTTTCTTTGGTCCCCATCCATGTGCATCTTGGCCTAATATTCTGTTATTGATATACAATATTTATATGGGGCATGCAAATAGGATCGATGATTTTCATGTGATGTTACTGTTAGGCACCAAACAGCCTGCAGTACACTCGTAGGTTGAGAGCAACTGCTAGCACTTGCTCCCCCACGGGAGGTGTACCCTAAAGGCTCAGTGTTCGAACCCCTGGGGCGTCCCCATTCGGCCATCCCAATGTATAAAAGGAAAAATAATTGTCCTGGATCGAAAAAGAAAGAAAAAACAAAAGACCTGCCACTGTTTTTCCTGTTCCCTTCGGTAACACGTCAAATATGGATTGATGTTGTTTTCTACTGCCTTTTGGTTTCTCCACCCTACTTCAGTAACAATCTCTCGATTTATGTATCAAAAGCTTTCACTCAATCTATTATTGGGGACATTTTGGTTTTTATTTAAATTTTTTAATACAAAACCTTAATAGAAAAATAATTTTACTAAAGGACTTTTGAAGCTTGGGATTAAATATTTATTTGCGTTAAAACTTAAGAGAGTGAATAGAATATAATTTGTTTTAGATGATGCACTTAACCCTTTAGAATTTTAAGATGTTCGAATAATCTTTTAGACGAGTGCACATAACTTTTTGATTGAAAATATATACACAACCACATGACTTCAGGTATGAGTGCCTTGCACCCTTTTATGTATTTTATTATTACGAAACTCTGGTGGTTGGAGATAAGATTGTGTATGGTACTATAAATATAGACATATATATTTTATTATGAATAAGAATCTTTATTAAGGAGGCTAGAAGTAACAAGAGTGGGGGGAATATAGAAATTAGCCTCTCAAACTATTTGTCATTGATAAATATGTCTTTAGGTAAATTTTAAAGGCAAATTCACCTTTAACATTAGCAAAAATATGTTCAAAATAGATTGAATTGTTAGGCACTATTAGATTTTTTTTTTCTTGATAAATAGTATAAAGATTTATTCATAGTAAATATTAATCAAAGGACTCTATTTAGATTATTTTTTCACACTAAAAACTAACAAAATTTAAAAGAAAAATTATTCAATCATGTTAACTATATCTTTACAATAGTTAGGGTCTTGTCAATCAAGTTTTGTAATTAATTTTTTTTCGATCTAATTTTAGAAAGATTATTCATATCAAGATTAACAAAATTTATAAAAAAAATTACTTTTTATACTATTTTACAACTTTATACTAGTAAAAAATAATTAAGAGGCTAATTTATCACTTTAAGTGGGGTTTATTAATATTAACTTGTAAAATCATCGTTCATTTTAAAAAAAAAAACTTGTAAAATCATCACATATACTCCACACGGTCTGCTGGTAAAAAAAAAAAAAAAAAAAACACTCCTGACGGTTTACTCAAATTGTGGGAAACTTCAAAAAAGGACCGTTACTTACCAACTCAACAACTTTTTTAAAAGCACGCAAGCTTTTCCTTGTGTGGGCCTACACAATTTCAAAAAATAACCATATCATCATTTTTTTTGAATTTCCAATTTTGTCCTTCAAAATCAAAATTCAAATGCCAATCAAACTGGGTCACATATTCACTGCATCACATCCCTTCAATGTTCCAACTGTCAGAACTGTACCAATGAATTTGTAGGCGGAGGTTAGGGCGAGCATTAATTTTGTTGAGAGTGTTAAGAGTTAAGACTAACGAGAGACGGATATAAGGCCCCTCCTTCCCGTAGGTTTCAAACTTTCAATGCTCATTTGGTGTCGTTGGATGTTTTAATAAAAATTTTGTTAAAAATTTTGTTATAAAAAAATTGTTTTTATAAATAAAAAAATTAAAAAAATAAAAATAATATATTAATTTTATTAAAATTTAAATGAAAAGTTTTTATAGAAGTAACAATTTGGTGATTCTAAGATTTGCAATAAAATGAACAAAAGATTAATTTGTAAAAAATTATAGTAACTTTTTATAAATTGTAGTGTTTAGTACAACATAATCTTTTAGAATTAAAAAAAACTTCTCACCAGCTGTACCAAACATGCTATTAATAGTTAAATTCAGTGAGTGAAAAGTTCGATTTTCATTAATTATTTTTAAAATTTTCTTATTCTTCCATAATTCATTATGTTTAAAGGACTCTTAATTTTATTTTTTTTTCTTATTTTGAAAAAGTGTAGTTATTAAAAAAAGAGAGGGAGGATAAAAATTTGAGATTAAAATTTGAATAATGATAAATGTAATGAAAATTTGAGACTAAAATTTGATTTTTTTCTTTATTTTGATTATACAATAAGAAATAACTATCTTCAATTTCTTATCTCACTCTACTCACATATCATGCGATTTAAATTCAAAATCTCTTACTTCTAGTAAAAGAAAATTACTACCGAGTTATTTAGATCGTTGATGAGACTAAAATTTGATATTAATGTGATATAAGTCACGTTATTTAAAATATTAAAATGTGTATTGCATATTATTAAATAATCAACTTTTTTTTAGACCTGTAATATTATGTGTTAATTAATTAAATGATATAATATACGTAATGTCATTAATCATAAATTTTTGTTCTTTTCATCGTTACTCTTAAAATTTATGATTAATG